ATGATTTTATTTTTATAAAAAAGAATAATAATAAAAAGAAATTTATTATTCATTTATTATTTATTATTCGAGAAACAACGTGGCGATAGTCAAAATAATTGGAAGAATATATATAATTAAGAAAATTTGAATCGATCCAAAATTGTGTTGTACGTGAAATAATTCATTGATTAATGAAATCATCCATTTAAATTAATCATGAAAGTTTAAAAACTCTATCAACGTGTGAACACGTTGCGCGATATTTTTAAATTCGGACTTTCTGATATGCACGTGTTATACCTTGATAAAATATTCATGGCGATTTGCAGCGCTCGAATGCAAGCGTGGCTAATAAGAATGAAACGTTCGAAAATTTTGAATACAATTTTTAAGATATCGCAACTTACGTAACTTAATTCAATGTTCTCCGCTTCTCTTTTCCTACTTCTCTTTCTTCCTTTCTTTCCTTACCCTTACCCTAATTATCACCGTTCAACAATCCATCAAAAATAATCCTTCGTATACACTTCATCCAAATCGATCGATTTCGAATCGAGCAGAAATAAACAATTTAAATCGTCGAATATATATTTACAAAAAAATTTGAAATTTTTCCAATTTTTCAAATCCAACTGAACCAGCTTTCTACCGAGATTACACCTCGAAAAAACAATCTCGATTAGAAGGGATTGATAGAACGAAACGAAAAGACAATTTCCAAAACAATCACCACCCGTCCAAAACATCCGAAAATATGGAAATTCGATTACGATAACCCTCGGATTCTGCGGAAGAACGGAGAAGAGAACGGAGAAGGTAAAGGAGGAGCCGGTTGTCTAATTCCTTGGTGAAGTCGACATTAGAGGGAGGGGGAGGGGGGTGGACGTGACAGCAATAAATCAGAAAACCGTTGCCAACGATCGATCAACCGGCGCGCATCTATTATTGGCTGAAATAAAAGGAAGTCAACGTACACACGTACACACACACAAACACACATATATGTATATACACGTACATACAAAGAAGGGGATGAGAGAGAGAGAGAGAGAGAGAGAGAGAGAGAGAGAGAGAGAGAGCGTGTGT